GTATGTTAACAATTGAATTAACAGTTTTTGCGTTTAAATACATTTAATATTTCCTTGGATGTAAATTAACTATTAATTTAAATCCAAAAAATATTGAATTTATTTAACCAAAAAAACTATATGTAGGTATACTTTTTCTCTCAATGTACCTACCAATGTGGCGCAAACATAAATATCCAAACACCGATAGCATAAAAATCACATGATTTTTTATGCCATCGGTGTTTGGTCATAAAAAATCACGACATGATTTTTTATGCCATGACCTTATTTGAAGTAGGCAATTGCATTTTAATTCTTAGTTTCGATGTATTAATATTCATTTGACTTTCCACTTCTGCGTTCGAATGTGGAAGAACTAAAAAAGATAAGGCAAAGTCTGCCAAGTCCTTGAAAGGATTTTCCCAATACTCCGTTCAGATTAAAGAAGAGCAAGAAATATAAATATCTTTGGTTCTCAAGGATTTCGCTGTTTGCGATTGACCGATGGCACAAAAAATCACGACATGATTTTTTATGCCATCGGTGCACCGACATGTTTGGATATTAATTTTTGCGACACATTCGTACATTGAAAGAAAAAGTATGTTAACAATTGAATTAACAGTTTAACATTCAATATTTTCTTGGATTTAAATTAACGTAATATAGTTAATTTAAATCCAAGAAAATATTAAATGTATTTAACCGCAAAAACTGTTGATTCAACATAATTTTTCTCTTAGTGTACGAACGTGGCGCAAAAATGATTATCCAAAAACCGTTGGCTAAAAAATCACGACATGATTTTTTGTGCCATCGGTCAATCGCAAACAGCGATGGCATAAAAAATCACGACATGATTTTCATTTCTCACGCAGTGACATCCGGATGATTTCCGTATGAATAAAATTTGTGAAAATCACGACGTGACGTTCGTATGATTTTCATTTATCACGCGTTGACTTCCGTATGATATCAGTATGAATAAAATTTGTGAAAATCACGACGTGACGTTCGTATGAATATCACGAATGTTGTCCGGGAAGTACACAACTATCACTAAGCACAGAAACCCATAGATTATAAAAAACCCACTAATAAAAAACGACATTCAATAGCGTCCAAAGACTTGTTTGTTTCTTCTTTATGATGGCGTCTCAACCATTTAAACAAGGACTGCGTACGTTGGTTTTACGCAGCTACACGAGAGCCCTCTTGCGATATTTTAATGTATTGGGAATAATCAATTAGCAGATTCCTTTTTAGAATCTTACACTGGGAATGCCCAATTGAATTCAATTGGAAATTACCTATGGGTAGCTATAACACAGTACAACAAAATTTGATTTTTGGTCCCTCCCATGAAAAATTTCTACAGATTCTAAAAATAGAGTTAAAAAAATGATACCCGTGTCTCGGCGTTTTTTCACATCACGTCATAATTTTTTTTTAAGGGCTATCCAATAAAATGTTATTCACACTATTCGCGACATAATTTAATAGACTCAATAACAGCTGGACTGCATAGTTAAAAATATATATATTTACTAAATGGATAGGCAACCATTATAGATGCATTTTAAAATTATTTTAATCTTATACAGAGTTTTGCACATTTATATATATATCAAACGGTTTATTTTTAAACCAAGTAACAAAATGTTTCAATTTTAAGCCAACCAAAATGCTTTAAAGTCGGGTGATTAAAATTTTTATTTATTCATTTTTTTGTAAAAATTGAGCTTTGTTGAATTAACATTTTGAAAAAAAAATTAAAAGATATTTAAATGAATTGATTTAAGTCTTAAAGCAAGTGTACCTAAAACATATTTAATTTAAGTAAAAAAAGTATTTAAGTATACTTATATATACGAAGTCAATTGAAACAGCAAAAAAACAAAAAATTTACACATCTGCGGCATTTAAACATAAAAAGCATTGTTTTCAAAACAATCTTTATACGAGGGTAATACTTTTTTTTTTAATGTTAAATAAAAACATTATTGCAGCGATAAATCGATAAATTTTTCATATTAATTTTCATTGTTGAGTTAACCATCCATTTGAAATCAAAGTAAAAATGCAGTGTCCGAATCGAAATAATTTTTGTTATGTATGTGGTTTATTTGCACCTCCAAGCCATATGCGAAATATTACAAAAAGTGTAGTAACAGCTTTTGAAGACTATTTTTTGGTGACGTATATACCAAACTTATGGTATGTACCAGAGGTTTTATGCGATTATTGTTACCGTTGTTTGCATGGATTGCAAGATAAAACACACAGTATGAAATATGTTGCACCAACAATTTGGCTTCGACCCGTCGCGACGCACCGAACACGCATCTGACCAGTGTTATTTCTGCATGTCAAAATTTAAAAGTTTTGGATTTCGGTACAATACTAGAGAGAAAATTGATTACGCCGATGTAGAATCCGTCATTCTCGCAAGAGTGCGATCTGAAGATTATCCAACTGCTCCTTCAGAAAACATATGTGAGGATAAAAGTAAAAAAACCTTTAACACCCAGTACAACCATTTTTTCCGAGATGGAATCTGAATTTATTCCCTGTAGTTCGGGTTATAAAGTACATTTTATAACACAGGACATGAAAGTACATATGTCACTGAAAATACATATTCTCCATGCTCATTTGGACTATTTTCCACCAAATTTGGGCGATTTTAGTGACGAACATGGCGAACGTTTTCACCAAGACATTTTAACAATTGAAAATCGCTTCAAGGGAAAAGACGTCAGGCATTTGCTGGGTGAATATTGCTGGTCAATTGTTCGAGATTCTGAAGCAATATACAGCCTGTTCAGAATAAAACCGAATATATCTATATATATATTGGGCGTGGCCTCGCCTCCCTCCAAGGCGCGTCACAGTTGCTTGTGTGATAAACGGCATGACGAAAGGTCGAGCAGGTAAGGACTTAAAAAATTAAATGATAATAATGCAAAAAATCTCATTAGCGATGCAGTCTATTTGCTTAGCTACTGTGTCGCGCATTGGAGGAAGGCGAGGCCACACCCCATATATATATAGATATATTCGGTTTTAGTCTGAACGAGCTGTATAATCGTCAAACTAAACGACCAAGATTTTATTCCAACATGTATTGAATATAAGATAAATACAAAAATGTGTTTCATTAAAAAAAAATAAAAAAAAATTATTTAAAAAAAATCAAAATATAAACTTTTTTTATATTTGTTTTTTTTATTGTGTAAAAACATACAATATTTACAAAAAAATATATTTTTAACCGAGTAAAAAATGTACAATCTGTATAAGCATAAATAATAGGAATGACGGCTTAAAATTTTTTTATGACGTGATCTCGTGAAACTGTGAGACACGGGTACGTTTTTTTTACCTCTATTTTCAAAATCTGCTAAAATTTTTCATGGGAGGGAAATCGTGTTGTACTGTGTAACCAATCGAAACTACTAAAAAACAGTAGAATCCTAATTGGACTTTTCCATATTTTAAAGTATTGGGAATAACCAATTAGCAGATTCCTTTCTAGAATATTACACTGGAAATGCCTATGGGTAGCATTAACCAATCGAAACCACTAAAAAACAGTAGAATCCTAATCGGACTTTTCCATCATGGAAAATACCAGTAAAAACCAATTTCTGTTTTATATCGCTCCCAATTAAACCCAGTAAGTCCAATTCAGACCTATTGATACCAACCAATACTTAAATTGGTTTCTATAAGGAATTAATCGGTCATTTACAACAGGGTTGCTTATCACACGAGAGGGATCGATACCCGGCGTCTGCATTAACTTTTTTGTTTTTTTTAAACAAATGCTTGCCATAAGCATTCACGTGCTTATTACCATCAACATGCCTGCAGGCATTTATTCTTCACAACATTGAATAAATTAAGTTTATACTCCCACAAGGGTTCAAATCTTCAATCCACTGTAAAGTGCTTTGAATAAGTCAATATTTTCTCGTTTGCAGTGAAATATATTTTTTATAAACCGGGGAGGCTCAACGCAATGAGATTCGGAATCCCTAGACTTGGGTTGGTATTTTGAGGGTTACCCCGTTGTTTAGCCTATGGCCTAGAGCGTAAGAACCCGTAATTAGCAAGATTTTTATACATATGCCTCAGAAACCAAACAGTTTCTAAAAGTTATTTTATTGAACAATAAATATAACACAAAAAAAGGATTTCGTCATAAAACATGCTGTTTTAATTGTCTCCCGTAAAAAATCTAAAAGCCGTATTTTTGATGCTGGTAACCCTTAAACCAAGAAGTGTCAGGTGGCAACTCTACCTATAGTCTATAGACTCTTATTAGCATAGTGGTAACAACTTTGCCGCAAGGATTCGGAATTTTTGTTAGTACCTTCACCTTAAATAGATATATGAAGTTCAGAAAATAGGTTTCTCCTGTATGAGCACGTGGAAGGATGGGATAAACAATATGTTTCAATAAGTCCTTCGGAGGGGACTTTAAGCCCGCAGTTCGTTCCTACCTCTTACCCGCTCAATCCATTCAGTTGGCTTCTGGGACTCCTTAGGAAGTGAAGGTGAAACTAAAAGAGAACTTTTGTATATATCTACTGTTAAACACAAAAATATATTAAGGATATTTGAATTAGTATATTTTATTAAAAATATTAATTTTAAGTCACTATTTGTATTAATTTTAAGGAAATTAAAGAAAAAAATTAATAAAGTTTATCATTTTATACTTATAAGTATTAACGTTTACGTTAATTAACAGTGTTTGGATCTTCATTATAAAAAGTCTTTAACAAAAAATATACACCCAATACAATATTTAATTTTGGTTCTCAAATAATAAATTAAATAATAATAATAAACATCTTTATTGGTTTCCCAACAGGCTATCGACCGTGGTCTTTCTGCCCAATTTTACAAAAAAAAATTTATAAATATAATAATTCTTAATTGTAGTTACAATATTGAATTTATATAAAAAAAAAATTAAATATATGTTGAATTTAATAAATAAAAAACGCCTAATTTTTGTCTGGAGATTTAGACCATGATCTGTTCCTTGGTTCTCCTTCTTTTGGAAGCGACCACGATTTTGATCTTGATTTCCTTTCAACTGACTTATTAACTTTTTCCCTGGATTTTGATCGTGATTTTTCCTTTAATTTTCTTGGAGATGTTCGCGGGCTTTGTACCCTGTCTTTTTTGGATCTAGAACGTGACCTGGATCTACTTCTACTTTTTTTATCGCTTTTAGATCTTTTGGTTTCTGATACGGATCGTGATCTGGATCTACTTCTAGTGTATCTTCTTTTACTTCTTGATCTAGACCTAGAACTGGATCTATATCTAGATCTGCAACGGCTATATGACCTTGACCTGGACTTGGTGTAGGATCTTCTCCTGGAAGGACTTTTAGACCGACCTCTTGAAAACGATCTGGAACTACGAGTGTGCCTATTATCGTGATCGTCGAGAAATTTGGTAAAGTACCGAGAATATTCCTCATCGGGAAGATGTCTTCTGCCACGGTAGCCTCCACGAAATCTGGGATTATAACCCCTACCTCTTCCACGAAATCCACCTAAAATTTTATAACGAAATAAAACATTTAATCATTTAGTTTTAAAATAAGTTTTACCCCTGGAAGGTCCTGGAAAATTGTTTTCCATACCAGTATGGTACACATTTGGAGGTGGATACATGATACCCTGAGGCATATGGTAGGCAAAACCCATCCATGGTTCATAAGGAATTTGTGGTAATTGCATTGGTGCATTGTAATTGACATCTATGGGCATTATTTTTCTTTGGCCTGCAAACATAATACACTGAAGATAAATAAACATAAATTTCAACAGAGCTATATAGGTAGCTCTCTTGAAATTTATGTTTATTTATCTGGCAATATTGCCACATGTTAATTGCATTTTATTTAACTTAGTTGATTTTTTTAAATATTTATTTATGTAACAGGATTGAACACAATTTTTTATAAAAATTTCTTAAAGGGATTCCAAAAATCAACATTTAATTGACGTTAATCTTTATTATTTGTAAAGGTTTTTTTTGTGGTGTGTAAGCAGTGCTTACTAAGCACCATACAGAACCCCAAAGGGGTAAGCACCTTTATGATGTAACTTGGACAGTACCTACCTTTATGTTTAATTTTTATTAAATTATGAATGTAATGCGATCTGACTTATGCCAACCAACCCCAAATTCGGATTCAGGGACCCCAAAAACGTATAAATATAAGCAACACTTAAAAGTTTTACTTTGGAAAATTCCTAAGTAAGATTTTTCTTCGATATCTTCTTTAAAGAATTCTAGACCGTGGGACTATTAATAATGTCTCAAAAGTGACGGCACAATTTCGTTTTGGACTTTTGAAAAGCCCCGAGCGAAATTGTGCCGACCCCCGAAAAGCGGCAAAAACCTTCCATTGTCGAATTATATGCATGAAAATCTGTACATCTGTATAAATATATTCCCATAAAAATTGTCTTGGTTTTATTTTTTTTTTAATCTTTTCAAGCAACATTTTTTAAGAGAAAAAAGTGAGCGTTGAGCAATGTGTCCAAAACAAAAAGGATACTAATATCAATTCAAGTACGGTAGCCCAAACTAGATTTTACCTATATAGGTAAAATCTAGTTTGGTAACTATAGTTACTTTTGCTGTGTGATGCGTGTTTTGCAGACCATGTGCTTTAATTTTCTGCGATGTGGGATCAAAAACGGTCTTTGAATTTAAGGTTAGGTCATCTGTCAAATTAATCTTTTCTTTTATATTTTTTGCCAGGTAGTCCAGTCATCTAGGCATTTCACCTCGGAATCTAACGGAATAAGCTGAATTTTTGTACAAACCTTTATTTTAGCTTTGCAAATGTTGTCTCAAAAGTCACATATGCCAACGTGTGAGCGGCCTTAGATATTCAAGGTCAAAGGTCGCAAAAATCAATTTTTTGAGAAAATCTCCTTTTCTCTGCCTCCTATCGTATTTGAATTTATTATACAAGTTGTAGAGAATAAAATTCTCTACAAATTTTGTTTAAAACATTTTTTCATACGTCTAATCGTTTTTGAGATAGAGGGCGCAAAGTGTGGAGCGCTCTGGAGCGCTCAGCCATACGTACCTTTAGCGCAAGGTAAATCATAAATCCCAATCTATTATACCGTTTTTTTAATTAATTATTTATTAAATATTACTTAAATAACAATTTAATACCTTATATTTATTTTTATATATTTTTTAAAACAAATAGTCATTAAATATTACTTACTTTTGACATACAAATAATTAAATAATGAAGTGAATCATTCTAAATATATTCTAATGTTATTCTAATTAATGATAATTATTTATAAATGCATATTAAGAAGAAAAGACATTAAATGAATTTGCCTTGAATATGTCTCTGGTCATCTCTTGGATCCAGATATTGCTTTTAAAATAACAGACCTGGAAATACTATAGTGGGCTTGCTATAAATAAAAAGGTTAGGTATACCTATATACTTGTGATACTGTACACTGTGGTACTGTATACCTTGTGACAGGTAATATTCGTAATATTTTAAAGGTTAAAATGGCTGATTTGTGTTTTATTTGTAATAAGTTACTTTCTGAAGGTGATTTTGTGACTTTTGTGCGCGGTATAAAGACTTTAAAAGAAGCAATTATTGAGAGAAATAAACATAAACTACCTAAATACTTTGACTTCTGTGAACGTTCATATTGAGTGTCGAAAATTGTACGCTATAGCTTACTATAGTAAAATTGCAGCAGCAAAACGTCGCCTTGAATAGACTGGACCTTGAACGTCATCAACTGTACCTCGTAAAAAAGGGAATGATGTGTTTGATTTTAAAATATTGTGCTTATTTTGTGGTAAAGTCGCAGATGAGGCAACAAATGCAAACAAAGTACAAACACGTTATAAGTAAGTTTTTGAAGATATGGCAATTAATGTCAATGATAACGAGGAGAGTGATGATGAGAATGAGTCTGAAATTGCTGGCCAACCTGAAGAAGACAAGGATGAAGAAGATAAAGATTAATAATAATAATAATATTAAAATAAATAAAAACATTTTTTCCTACTCCGATCCAATTATCCTTCATTAAAATTAAATTAAAATATAAGATACATATGAAGATAAAATATATTTGATTTAAAAGAAATATAAGTATAAGGTATTAAATTTTTTTTAGTAAAATTTATTATATAAATAATTTAAAAAACGGTATAATAGATTGGGATTCACGATTTACCTTGCGCTAAAGGTATGTATGACTGAGCGCTCCACACTGCGCCGTCTATCTCAAAATCGGTTCGACGTATAAAAAAATTTTGTAAACAAAATTTGTAGAGAATTTTATTCTCTACAATTTTTATAATAATTGCAAATACGATAGGAGGCAGAGAAAACGAGATATTCTCAAAAAACTGATTTTTGCGACCTTTGACCTTGAATATCTAAGGTCGCTCACACGTTGGCATATGTGACTTTTGAGACAACATTTGTAATGCTAAAATAAAGGTTGTCACAAAAATTCAGCTTATTCCGTTAGATTCCGAGGTTGATCCCTTTTTTGACTAAGATGACTGTACTAAGGTTTATCAAAATTTTATGTAAAGCTCGGTGAATGCTAGGTTATATTTTCGGAACCGCAATCGGAAAATATTCTGACAGTTTTTTATGGCTGTCATCAAATTTTAAAATTGAATGAGACACCAACTTTCTGAAAAAAAACGCGTTAATTGTCACTGTAGTCAAGCTAATAAAAAAGCTCCCAGTTAGTTTGGGCTTTTATAATCTGTGGTTTGGGCTATACCCGGAATCCAATTTTGTCCCTATGAAACATAGCTGACCCAGGAGGGGCAAAATTGGATTCCGGGTATAGAAATATACCTGTATTTTTGGACAATATCGCAAGCTTTGACCTTCTAGCGAGGTATTTTGTTATTTGTACAATACATTGAGAGGATGATCCAAGATTTGGAAAATTCAAGTGTCTATGGGTGGATGGCTTCGTGAAGCGCATGGACATTAAAACTTGTTGCTGGTCAAAATGGTACATTGAAACCGAGACCATTAAGGCCTTTGGTCACCAAGGAAGAAGAAGTAAGGCGAATATTTTACTTTAAACCACAAAGACTACAGACAGTTGTACAAACTAATTTTTACTCGAGTTTTTACTTTTTCAATAATACAATAAAGTCACATATTTTTAAAAATAAACAATTTGTTTTTATAAAAATAATGATTATTTAACAGTCAAAGTAAAAAAATATTTTTTCGATAAATTCACTGGTTTAAAAGTTATTTAAGGTTATAACCTTAAATAACTTTTAGACCAGTGAATTTATCAAAAAATTATAAGAAAGTTTGCTTAGCATAGGCGTTTGTGTACGCTTGACTAGTATTGTCAGTTTTTTAGCTAAACAAATTATTATTACATTTTCGAAAGATTGTGTACCCATCTACTTAAGTAGATTGGTACATGATCTCATAATCTCGAAATTCATTTTTTGGACCCAAGGTTCGTTTTCTTGAAGTGCTTCACATATCATATTATCCGTCTTACCTACTTATAAAGCCATGATGAAAATGAGAACAATGTTTTAAAAATTTTAAAGAAATTTACCTTTATTTTCATCTTCAAGAGATAAAGATGAAGAACTTGATGAAGACCTTCTTCTCCCATCTAAAAGAATAGTTTTTAGCATGACCCTGCCTTTAATGGCATTATGAAGTTTTTCCTTTTGTGTTAAAACTGCTAATTCACTAGTGTTTTTGTACATTTTTAGCTAAAATAAAAAAATTAAATATATATTAATGAATTAATTAAATTGGAGTGTAAAAATAAAGAATAATTTAATTAAAACAGATGTAACACTAACAAGAAACTGTGATAAGCACAATTATTCCACAAGAAACAGGCCCGGCTCCAGACATTTTGGTACCCCATGCAAAAATATTTTTGCCGCCCCTCATACTTTTTAGTGCCCATTAATTAGGTATAATTTCTAAAAAAACGACCCAAATAATATCGTCCCCTTGATGCTACAATTAGATATCTGGAAAAACACATTTATGAAATTTATAAATGTGTTTTTCCAAGATATCTAATTGTAGCATCAAGGGGGCGATATTATTTAGGTTTATTTAATAAAAATATTCTAAAATTGGTATGTAAGTATTTAGTAGAACTTGATTCGTAAAATTTCGAGTTATCCAGTTGTTGTAGCATTAAGGGGAAGATAAAATTAACAAAAAAGTTTAAAAAATTATTATTTAATAACAAATAAATAAAATATCATCGCATTCTAAATAAACAGTAATATATTCTAATAATAATTATTTTATCGAACATTATTAAAATGACTAGTAGTAGTAGATCAGATTTTTGAAAATTTGTTTGGAAAATTATTCAATGTATAAAACTCAAAATTTGTACAAAATAGTTTTAGGGAAGAGAAATAAAAATTTGCCATAGTTTTTTATACTACTCCTAGAGGGCGCTAATGACACATGTCGAATTGGATGAATTAATTAATTAATAAAAAAAGTATTAATTCACCCAATTCGACATGGGTCATTAGCGCCCTCTAGGAGTGGCATACAAAATTATGACAAATTTGTATTTCTCGTCCTTAAAAACTATTGTGTAGAAATTTTAAGTTTGATATATTGAATAGTTTTTCAAATATAAGAAATTTTCAAAAATCAGATCTCACATTTATCGCCATGTATCTCGTTTATTATTAACATTTTACTAAGACATATTTGTGTTAATCGACCTATTTTGACCTCCTATTTCTACAGTTGCGGTATTGTCCATTAGTTATGGGACACCCTGTATATCAATAAGAAATAATATGTAAATATAAAAGAAAAATTGTAATACTACTGTGATATTTTAAATTTTAACTCTTAATTATTAATTATAAATATTTAATATTACCTACATGATGTACCTGATATGGAATCTTGTATTCTTTTAACTATGATTTCGCGAAAGAATCGAACGATCGATTTACAACACATCTCAGATTTTTTTTTAATTTTAATATTTTGTTTATACATCCAATTTAACCCTAAATCTAAAATTTTTCTTTTATCTGACTTAAACTTTAGCTCCTAGAAACCATTTAATTTTGCCTTTCACAAAAAGGCCAAATTCCATTATTTTGGCATACATTTTTTATTAAAATATTGAATGATTTGAAATTTGGCCCATGTATGACAGCTATTAGTCTATTCTGTCAAAAAAAGTTTTAATTTTTTACATACAGGTGGCGCTGCAATTTTTTTTCTTCGAAAGTAGACGTTTTTTGAAGACAAAAAATTCTCTTAAGCAACAATGCTCAAAAAAACTAAATAGCGTACCAGATAATATAGATATTCCTTTATAATTCGACATATAAAAATTTACTTGCAAATGATGTTGCCGCCCGTAAAGCCAACTTAAAGTTTGGTCTACCGCATTAAAAAAAAATTGAATTACACTTTCAACTCCATCCTTATTTTTAAACTAAGGAACTCCAGGTGATGGCTTTTATTGGTAACTAAAACGCAACAAAAAAAGTTTTATTTTTTTATATACAGGGGGCGCTGCAGCCTTTTTTTAAAAAATAGACGTTTATAAAGACCATAAAGTAACATTGTTTAAAAAACTAATGACATTATTTATAATGTATCAGATAATATAGATATTCTTTTATTGTTTGACATATAAAAATTTATTTGCAATAATTAATGCCTGTTGTAGGGACGATTAAAATTATAACTAGTGCACGTACCCGCATATTGTTATATAAACGCCTTTTTTCGCTTTTATTGTTGTATGCGGACAAAAGGTAACAAAACCAAAGAAATTTTAATTACAAATGGTAACAAGTATTTCAGTGACTCTATAGTAATAGTAATAGTAATATGACCATTTGTTTAAATATATTTTAGTATACTTCGAGAGGCAAAGCATTCTTTATTATCGTACTTTAAAATTAAACTAAAGTCAAGCCTATAGGCTGGGAATCAAGTTACCCCAACAGTTGACAGTTACTGTCAAACGGTAACCATAATAACATTTAAAATTTTGCCGTTATTACAAAAGTTGAAATTGGAGAGGGAAAATATCATGCTTTTAAAGGTACGCAATTAAATATAGGTGCGACGAATTAAGCTAAGAACCCACTTGGCCCACGCCACGCTACGCCATGCTACTCGACGTCGACTGACGTGGGTTCACGTTTTCGAGTCACCGTACACACTAGTAATACGCTACGCCACGTCTTATGACAAACATATAAAAAAAATTGCTTTATGAAATTATGAAATAATAATAAAATTGATTTATATACTTATTAGTATTAGTATTGTTTGTTTTGGTAAATAAAATGGAGTGTGCAAGTAGTTCTTCATCTGATGAATGGGAATGGGAACTAGAGGAGTGTTCTGTTGCTATTATTATAAATAAAAAACAAAATTTCTTTAATGTTGATTGTACAGGAACTCATATGAACACACTTTTTCAATAATTTGTTCATCCATGTTTGAAAACTGTTTACAAAACATGCGCACTCCGTGTGTAGCTGCATGGAGGGGGACAACACGCGTTCACACGTCTCTTCAAAATTCAAAACAATTTGATTTTCGAAACGTCGTTCGACGTCAGGTGGCATGGTGTAGGGTGGCATGGGACAAGTGAGTACGTATTGCATTAAAGCCTGTGTTAAATTCCTGCATAACAAAACGTCGCGTAGTGTAGCGTAGCGTAGGGTGGCGTGGCGTAGGCCAAATGGGTTTCCAGCATTACTTTGCAGTAGGGTTTTTGAAAATGAAGATGATCTTCTAAACCACCTAAATTTCAAAATCATAAATTTCCTGAAATTAGACAAACTATAGGAGATGTTGCTAGAATGGAATTTTTAAAACAATAAGATTTTTTAACTGCAACTAGTTCAACAATATCTACCGTCAATATATGCCCAAATGAAGAAGATAAAAACACGTTTTTTCGAGTTTATGCAAAAGGGTTCGGAAGGCGCAAAATTAAAAAATCACGTTTTAATTAATGAAAAACAAAAAGATTTTGTTGGCAACCTTTTTGAAGAAGGTGAAAAAACTAAAATTAAATATACGCCTGAATATATAGCAACAGCTTTATAAAATTATGAAGTAAATGGCAAATTTTATTTTTCTTCAAACGAGTATATGCATCCTAATCAGATACGCGGCTTATTATCAAGATTATCGTCATCGTCATTATCAGTTTTAAAGTATGTAGTTCCTTTGCGGCCTAAGTAACTTTTAAGTTATAAATAACCCTGGTTAAAATCTCTAGACTGATTCTGAGAATCGCTCTAGAGATTTAAACCAGCCAGTATCATGATATAAACCAGGGTTATTTATATAACTAAAAAGTTAGCGAATATACCCCTTAGAGCCCAACAAGTTTAAAATTTAATGTAAAGGCAATAATTATTATTATTATAATAATTATTAGGATATATCTGTATTATTTAATATATGCAAATCTTGCAGATAAATTGTTATATGTTAAATAATAAAGAAATAGTAATATCAATAATAATAATAATAAAGAAAAACATAATAAATAAAATAAAGAACAAACCTATTAAATAAATAAAGGAATACGTAACTCTTTATAATAAAGGAATACATAGCTATATTATCTGAAATGCTATATAGTTTTTAAAGAAAAAAGGCTGCAGCGCCCCCTGGGTGTGAAAAAATAAAACTTTTTTTTGCTGTGTCATTGTAACCAATAAAAGTAATCTCCTGGAATTCCTTAGTTAATAAATAAGAATAAAGTTGTAAGTGTAATTCAATTTTTTTTAATGCGGTAAACAAAACTTTAAGTTGGCTTTACGGGCGGCAACATCATTTGCAAGTAAATTTTTATATATCAAATTATAAAGGAATATGTATATTATCTGGTATACTATTTAGTTTTTTTGAGGATTGTTGCTTAAGAGAGTTTTTGGTCTTCAAAAAACGTCTATTTTTGAAGAAGAAAAAATTGCAGCGCCACCTATATGTAAAAAATTTAATTTTTTTTTTGGTAGAATTGTAGGTACTAATAAGGGTCATTTATGTACCACATCTCAAAACATTCAGTATTTTAATAAAAAAAATATGCTAATATAATGAAATTATGGCTTTTTGCGAAAGGTTAAATTAAATGTCTCTGGGAGCCAAAGTTTAGGTCAGATAAAAGAAAAATTTTAGATTTAGGGTGGAATTAGATGTATAAACACAATATTAAAATATAAAAAAAATCTGAGATGTGTTATAAAAAAATACCCTAAAATCGTTCGATTCTTTCGCGAAATCATAGTTAAGGTGTAAAAAATAAATTAAAAAAAAAAACTTAAAAAACATGATTAATTTACCTCTTGATGTCCTATATTTTTTTGCATCTCATTTAGACCTACTTCTGCCTGTTTATCCTTAAAAAAATATCTTTATTTGTGTTATTAAAAGGTTAATTATAAGTCTTACTTTGATTCTCCTAAATAACTCTTCAACCAATCTAATAGCTTCCAGTTTTCTTTGAGCCTTCATTAATTTTTTTTCTTCTTTAGCTATTTTTTCATTAATTTCATCAGAACCAGATATTTTTAACTTTTCCAGTACCTTGGATTTTCTTCTTTCTTCCCTTAATTTTCGTTGTCTTTCTTTTTGGTTTTTAAGATCTTGGTCTTTTTCTCTGTAAATTATTACCAATTTCACACACAGTGTGTTTTACACATGAGTAATACAACTTTTTTTCTAGTTTTTTTAATAACTTAAAAATGTTTCATCAATAGCCTTCTGAACTTTTAATAGGCAAGTTGGGTTAAATCGACCTGATGTAATTGTACCTGTATTATACATACTTAACAAGTTGTACAGTATACAGGCATTAAGAAAATAGTAAATTCATATTACATTTTATAAATTTTATACCAATTGATTTCTTAATTTTATACAGGTGTCTATTAATGCAGGTTATTTAAAGTATACAAAAATTCCATTACAAATGTTTTAACGTAATTAGCATTTAAGTTTAAAAAACTTGCCATAACTTTGCTGTTATTAAAAAAATTACTTTATATTTTTGAAACTTTACTAACAAAATTGTTTAAATAAAAAATCCTATTAAAATAAAGAAAATTCAATTAAATTTTATTACTCAAACACTGGTTGTCAAAAATGTTTTTATACTTAAAATAACAGTGTGGTATAACTATAATGCTCCATTTTTGGACACCCTGTATAAAAATAGTTTTTGTTTTAATTGAATTTCTTATATATAATTATATATAATATATTATATATCTTATATTTAATTTTTCATAATAAAGTTCATAATTTTTTTTTGCAATAAGTACCTAAGTAAACAAACCTAATATATTTTTATTAAATTTATGACCAAAAATATTATTTGCCAAATACTTTATGATGTTGTTTATTAGTGTGAAAAACTTTTATGGAGTTAGCATTTATTTTTCAATAATTATTGTAAAATAAAAACAAACTTAAAATAACCTTAGTATCTCTTGTTCCCTTTGTATGTTTTCCAAGTCCCTTTTATCCTTTTCCTCTTTTTCCCTAGCCTTTTTAATCAACCTCTCTCTCACTATTTCCCTTCTCCTAATTGTTGCCTCACTTAAATGTTTAGTTTTATCATAATCCGCAACAATATTGGTTTCAACAGCCCCATCATCTTCCTTATGAACCAATTTCATACCACAAAGTGCATCCATTGCATCAGTAAACCCTATGTAATCTTTGAATTGCACATACCCTTCAAAATAATCTGTTTTATCAAATGTTGTTGTCTGCAGACCTGAAATGTGGTCTTTCATTTTTTTCCTGTAAGGATCACATATAGGAATGTCAACATTTCTAATTCTCCCAAATTTTTCAAATATCCTATACAGTATTTTTTCTGAAGGCAAAGCTTCTTCGTCATGTGCAAGGTGAGGTGGTACAAACCATTTAGTGGGTAGTTTTGATAGATGAATTGTGTCTGGTCTTCCTGCTGTTTTTGGATTTCTAATTCTTTCAGTATGAAAAAATTCATCCCATTCTTGCCTCTTGGGAAAACTTATTTTTGCCTTTCCAGCCTTTACTCTCATCATATCACTGAAGTCTTTAAGTTTGATCATTCTGTTTTTTAACTTATCAATAGCATAGTCTATCTTATTTTTAGTCTCCAATTCAGCCTCTAATCTTACAATCTCAATAGTCATTTTAACCACTTTTATTGAAGCAAATTTTTCTGGAAGTATCAATTCCTGAACCTTTTCCATTATCTCCCTATGGGAAATGCTTTTCGTTTGATTCTTCACATTTGGAAGCTGTAAAGAGATGTTAATTTTTGATATTGGTTTCAAAAATAACTTTTGCGGAAGATATAGGGGTACCAAATCGGCCGTGTTCTTGCATTCCTGAAAATCATTCATAATTAGAGTTGCTGTTAACAAAAGCTAACGAACAACTCTTATTATAAATGTTTATTATGTTAAATTTGCACTTATTTTTCATTAAAATCTTATTTTTTGTCTAGAACTCAAAAATGTTTGTGTAAAATTTGTTGGTTATCTATGATTTGTTGATTAACGTCATAAAATTAGGTTGCTGTGTTGCTGTTTTTTGTCATGTCCAGGGAATTTATTATTTTTAAATATTTAGTTTAAATTTCTAATAAACTTTGTTTTCTTAAAAACACAGTTTCAATATTTTTTATTTTACCTATCTATTATGCGTTGTATTAATTTAATTTAAAAACGTATCTAAAAAGTTTTGGCAACATAGCATTTATGGTTTGGGGATTTTTAAATTTTAGTTGGTAGTTCCAATGGTATATCTCTTGTCAGATATTTTCCCGCCAAAGCGAGCGTTTTGTTGTGTGCATATGGTTGTGTAGTGTTTTTAATTTGTTCTTGTTAATTTAACTACATTTTCTTGTTAAACTGTAAATATGATGGAAGTTCAAGATGTTGATCAGCGTTTACGCGAAATGCAAAGAGAGTATTTGGATTTCCTGGATGATGAGGTAGGTTTTAATTAATTTAATTTTAAAACAACAAATTTTTAACGTTAAATTTATAGGAGGATCAAGGGAAATACTCTCAATTAGTTAAGAATATGATAGCTGATAAATCTAGGCGCCTTGTAGTAAACGTGAATGATTTAAGAAAGAAGAATCCAACAAGAGCCAAAGCATTATTAAATAATGCTTTTGAGGAGCAGCTATCTTTTCAAAAGTCCTTAAAAGAATATGTATTTACTGTCGCCAGTGAATATTCCAAGGATAAAGAAGATTTTTTTGTTGCTTTCGAGGGTAGTTTTGGTAATAAACATGTTACTCCAAGATCCTTAACATCTAGGTATTTGGGAAACTTAATTTGTGTGGAAGGTATTGTTACTAAATGTTCTCTGATACATCCCAAAGTAGTAAGAAGTGTGCATTATTGTTCTGCAACAAATAAAACTATTGAGAGGAAGTATACAGATTTAACATCACTGGATGCTTTTCCCAGTACTGCTGTATATGCTACAAAGGTAAGTACCATAAAGTTGGTTAAATAAAAAAATGATTTTCAATAAAATTTAGAGAATCAAAAACAATAACTCCTACAATTACATTTTTGTGATTCAAATATTCATTTTTCTACTGCATCATTTCTTAACCTTTTTATAGGTACCTTACAATGGGTTGCCAGAAATCAAAGTTCCATTTCTTAAATGGTATTTAATTAAATAATTAAATTGAAAATATAGATGTTTTAAAAAATAGATGATTTAAATAAAATATTCATTACCATAATAATTATAATTATTTCTTTACGTATATGTATATAATTATTGCTAATTTAAGAAAAATAAATTTATTAATATATATAATAATAATAATAATAAATGTTCTTTATTGAAAAAATACATTTTTCCAAAAGGCCATTGACTTTCGTCCTTCAGCCGGAATATACATTTTTGAAATACTTATTGATAATTATACTAAAATATTTTGATTGTGAAAAAATATACAAAAAAAAAAATATATATATATAGGTATATATATATACATATGTAACTAGTTTATATTATCATTGAGAATTATCTCAATGGTTGTTTTTGATGGATGTCTGGGCCTGGCATTTTCCAATCTTGTCATGCAGAATTCCATAAAAATATCTTTTGACTCTTCTCTCTCTCTGTATTTGGCTGCCAAGATCCGAATTCTCTCCGTTATTGGAATTATTCCTGTTCTTTGGTATAACAAAGGATTGGGAGGATTATGTAGCGGATTGTTGGGATGTCGGATTTTTGAAATTTTCCTTAGTGATGATGTTTCAGCTACTTGTAGGTTTTTTAAGGTGGGAGTTTTGGCATTGAGAAATAGGGGAAAACCATATTCGATAATGGGTCTACAGATCAGTTTATAAATTCTGATAAGGTTTGTGATGCTTAATCCATAGTTATTAATCCTTAAACCAGAAAAGTGTTTTGCCCTGGCTATTGTTTTCTTTTTTGTTAGTTGGGTGTGCAGTTTCAGATTTATTTTATGGTCTAATAGTATGCCCAGGTAATTGGTGGATTTTTCTAGGAGAATTGTATGGCCTTGCAGAGAAATGGATGGAGACTGGTCGGTAATACGGTGGTGAAAGATTAAAAGATGAGATTTGCTAGGATTTGGTGTAAGTCTCCATTTTGAAAACCATTCTGATGTCGAGTTAACTAGGTTTTGCAGGCTCATCATCACTTGGGGTATGGATTTTTTGTGGGAGATTAATACCGTGTCATCGGCAAATTGAAGAGTGTATGCTTCGAAACTAAAGTGGTTTTCATTTGGGAATTGGTGGTTATATATATCGTAGCAAAATATGTTGTAAAGCAAAGGCGAAAGGGGAGAACCTTGTGGTAGGCCTTGCTCGGTGACGAATGTTTTTGAGTAGGAGTTTCCGACCTTGACTTTGAGGGTTCTATTGTTTAATATTTTGAATAGAAGTGAAATGAAATGTTTTGGGCAGTTCATGTGGAAGAGTTTAAACAATAGACCCTTTATCCAAATGGAATCAAATGCCTTACTTATGTCCAGAAACAGTGCTGCCGATTTTTCTCCATTCAGTTTGGCTGTTTCAATGTTGTTTTTCAGTATGGTTAGAGCGTGGATAGTAGAACAGCCCTCCTTAAATCCGAACTGGTACCGGGGTATTTTGTTACCAACCTCGTTTTGTAGTAAATGCTTGAATATTTTTTCAAAATTTTTCCCTATTACTGGCAAAAGAGTTATAGACCGGTGATTTTTTATTTGAGAATGGTCCGTGTTTGCTTTGGGAATTGTGATAATGGTGCCCATTTTCCACTCAATTGGAAAGAAGTTGTTAACAAAACAGTATCTGTAAATTTTAATTATGTATTCGTGAATTTCAAGGTCCAGTTTTCTTATATTGTTTTTAGTAATATGGACGTGTCCTGGAGCTGTGTTTTTGCCGGTAAATACAATGTCAAAATACAATTCATCTAGGTTGTCCAAATTTAGTTGGAGAGTCTCATTAGGTTCTGTTGAAAAGTTGGCAAACCATGCGTCAACCATATTATATGTCTCCAGGTCATAAGAAGGGTCCCATGATTCTTCGTATATTCCTCCAAAGTAACGGGCGAATGCTTCAGCTTTTTCTATGTTGGAATCTATCAAAATGCCGTTTTCTTCAATGGATTCGATTTTAGTTCTGTTTACTTTATATTTACTTAATTTTTTAATGTCCTGCCAGTAAGTTTTGCCTTTCTTGGAGTTAATTTCTTCACATGTCTTTAAAAAGGTATGGTTTTTGAAATCTTGGATGAGCCTTTGTATAGTGTGATTAAAACGATTTATTTCACTTTTTATCGTGATGTCTCCAGTTGACCTGTATTCCCTATACATAGATCTCTTTCTTTTAATCATATTTGCATAATAATTCTTATAGGATTGATATTGATAATATATATATACAGGGTGTCCGGGAAAATGTGGGAAATCTCTCGGATTCAGATAGAACATGAAAAAATAAGATGACACGTTCCTATAAATTTTTTTCCTACTGGCCATCCTTACAGAGACATGGGCCCCGAAAGGACTCCCCTGCAAATTGGTTTTCCTTGAATAACTTTTAAAGTTCTAAATATAATTAAATAAAAATTTAATATGATGGACCCTGGTAAGGACCTCTTAAAATAGTGTCATTGAAACATGTTTTGCTTTTTTTGTTTACCAGGGGCGGACTAAGTTTTACTTTTTAATGCTTAAATTTTGAACACCCCGTATGACAAAGACTTAAAAAAACTAAATCTGCATAGCTTTAACCTTAAACTAAAATAAAGGTACTCTTGTTTATTGTCAATAAAACGAACCGTTTGCGAGAAAAAGAATAATAAACAAATTCATGTTTTATTTTTTAATAAAAAGGACCATAAAAAAATAATATCACGTATTGTTGCAAACCTTAAATTGAAGGACGATAATTCGAAACAATTAATTACAATTACAAGAGGGTTCAACATGGGTTCCGTGAACTCTGATACATTCGCGGGCACGACGAATTGAGGACTGCTGTACCCGCCAGAATAACCCAGAATTGTTTCTTATCATATCACAATAAAACGTGATTATCTGTAGAAGTTCCTCTATCGGAGTGGAATACACCAAGTTTTTTTAGGTATCCCACAGGAAAAAATCCATCAGCCTAAGGTCGGGAAATCGAGGAGGCCAGTCAATAGGTCTTCCTCTACCTATCCAACGGTTTGGATAAACGTTATTCAAGTGCTGCCGCACAGCAACGCTGAATGTTTAGGCGGGTTTCAAGTGGTAAGGGCTCTATTAAATCCCGAAAAGCGTTTTGGAGAAACTCCAAAAAAGTTGTCCATTCAATCGTGCCAGCAATACGAATGGTCCAATCAAAATATTGCCAATGATTCCTGCCCACGTATTAATTGGTTGGAACTGATGTTGAAAATGCGAAACAATAGTGGCATAAGGATTTTCATCAGCCCATACATGTGTGTTACCTTTTTTGTAAATCCTGCTTCATCCGTGAAAAGAAAACTTTTTTTACAAACGTAGGTACCTAAAATTATGAAGGAAGTCAATAATATTACTTTCTCGATTTTTATGTAAGAATGTCATATTCTCGCACGCAAAATCGTTGAAGAATGAAGCTCATTCTTAAACGATTTTTGGTAACATTTAGTTTTTAAGTATTGGTACCCCTAAAATGTCAAACTGTTTAATAACCTCAAATTCATTACTTTTAGGATTATTTATAATAGCTTTGTTTGTTATCCTGCACTAGTGCAACCTGAACTACACTTTTATTGAAAATGTAGCCTTTATTATTGTTTTGTTATAATAAGTTTGCTCCAACAATGCATTTTAATGCAAAATTTTAAGTTTAATGTGAAAAAGTGCAGTTCAGGTTGTACTTGTGCAGGATAACAAATATTGACAAATAAATGAGCCAAACAGGTCAATCAAACTATATTTTATTGGAAATATTATATACCCACAGTACACACAACACAAAACTACTATAAATTAATCACTAGCACAATAATTATTGTTATAAACTTTTATTGTAATATTTGGTGTGGCTTGTAAAACCTCCTGTGACATTTTTCACTGCTAAAAGTAAACACAATTGTTCAAAAATATCAGAAAACATTTAAAAATAATACAATACTTACACAAAACCTTATTATCCAGTTGACAAATACAGACAGATTATTAATAAATAGTAAATAAAAATAAATCTACCTGTCCATGCAACTGTCATTTTGTGTTGCCAACTGACATTTTGCGAGAAAAATCCCCCAACTAAAAACGACCACAAAACAATTAAAAAAACCTAAATAAAAGTTAAAATCGAGAAAATAGTATAAATCACACGTTGCAGAAGGCTATTCTCGCACTCATTCGTTCGTCCACTCGCTCCTTCGTCGCTCGGGGCCAAATTTCGAATTCGTGCGAGAATATGTGGCCTTCTGCAACTTGTACTTTAATATACTATTAATAAATGAAATTGTTCACCATTCTCTTCTTATTATTCGAAATCAGAAGACATTTTAACGAATTGACAAACGTCTTAGAGAGAATGGTGGACAATTTCAGTTATTAAAGTAATATTATTGACTTTCTTCATAATTTTAGGTAAGTTTGAAAAATATTTTAAATGCTGTAGATGACACTCCTTCAACGAGCACTCGAAAATTATCAGCACAGTTTAATACGTCGAAAACAATAGTGCATGATGTTCTTTAAGAACAGCTGTTATATCCTTATCATATGCAAAAAGTGCATAAACTTATTTCTGAAGATTTTCCTTGTAGAATGCAGTTTGCAAACTGGCTATTGGATCAGCAACAAAATAATGTAAACTTAATTAGCACTATTCTTTCCAGCCCTTACCACTTGAAACCCGCCTAAAGATGTACTTCTTGCACGATGGGGCACCACCTCATTTCAGCGTTGCTGTGCGGGAGCACTTGAATAACGTTTATCCAAACCGTTGGATAGGTAGAGGAGGACC